CAGTGATCCAAATCGTTTTTCAACAGTCATTTACAATTCAACCCAAAAGAATTGTTCATTGTGATCCCCTTGCTTGGCTAAATAATCTACCATTGCATTTTCTGTCCTATTCCATTTGAATGTAGCTCCCACATCCTTGGTTAATGATTGATTCTATTTCCCTTATGCTTTTGTCTCTAAATCCAAGCTTCTGGGTTGTTGCTGCTTAACCAGGAGATTACTACTTTGGAATCAATCCCCTTCGACCTCCAACTCTGAATTCCAAGTTTCTTGGCTATCCTCAAAGTAGGTTTAGAATGTTGTGAAGCGTCAGAAGTGTTGACTGACATATGTCAATGTCGAGACCCATTAAAAAATTATATTATGTTGGTTGAAATTTCTAATATTTCAGTCAAATGTTGACCAAGTCTTTCCAAACAAAAGAAAGTATATATTATCCTTATATTTTAAATGACATGTTGAAATTTTCAAGTACAGACAAAATCTTATTTCATGTCAAAAACAAAGAAAGAGAGATACAATGATAGAGTAAATGAAAAAAAGTAAAAAGGACAAGCTCAAAACAAAGAAAGGAAGCAAAAACAAGAAGGGTTTCCTATTTCCATACTTGAAAGACTGAAAGTGTGAAACTGTAACTTTAGGGTTCAAATCAGGTAACTCTACCATCATTGGAGCGTTGAAACACTTAATTGGAGGCAAAGACAAGATGCCAAGCCTCTGAAACTTGAATCTTCAAGATCTCATCTCTATTCATCTTGATTCAGGTATGTAGTACCTACTGATCCTCTTCCTGTAGGTGGGGTAAGGCTTGGTTGGGGAGTGGTCTCTTTGAAAGACAGAGAAAGGCTGGTGAGTAGAGGAATAGGCTTCTGGGGTTAGGGATGCTGAGGCGAGGGAGCAGAGAAAGAGTGTGTTTGAGTGCTGGGGGCCAAATGCTGAGGATTGAATGAATTTCAATACGAAGAGGACCTCTATTTATGGGGGAGATTTTGAGATCCAAAAAGTTAGGAGATAAGGGTATTTGCAACGTATCAGGAAAGGGAATATTAGATCCGCTGTCAATTATTAAATGTGCTACTGGGGTTTCGCCATGTGTCTTATGAGGATCTTCTCGAGGATTGGCTTTCCTTTTCCTCAAGACTCCTCATTACTCATGTGTGCTACTATCTTTTGCGTGGTTTAACTTAATTAACGTGGCATTGGTGACATCACCACTTGGCGGGCGCCGCTTTGTTGACTCCATGTGGCGTTTTGCCACGTCTTTTTGCTGTCGTAGGTTCCACGTGCCTCCGGGCTTATGTGGGCCTCGCCATGGGCTCGGTCTGGGTTTCTCTTGATCCGTGTCGCGAGCAGGCTTGTAAGCCACTGGTTTATTGCACGCTTTGGTAGGCATAGGTTCATCGCACGTTCGAGTAGGCTTGAGGCCCTTGGATGGGTTCGATCATGGTTTTCTTTGGTTCGGGCACCGAGTAAGCCAGGTGGACCGCGGGTTTATCGTGGTTTTGCGATATGCGTTGTGAGTTCATCGTAGGATTGATGGTGTGTTGCGGGTTCATCACAACATGGGGATTGACTGTGGGTTGTTCGCACGCAACTTTGCGGTGTTAATCTTGATGTTTGATGTTGTCTGAGGGTCTGAGCAAACACTATGTACCTACACTTCCAATATGAAAAATAAGGAAAGAAAAAGAGAGCTGTGTTATTAGCGGCCGTACAAGGTATTCAGATTGTAGACCAATTAGGAGTTCAGAATCTGGTAATTGAAGGAGACTCCAAAGTTGTTGTGGGATGGTTGACACCTCCAGGCTCAGTTATATGGCAATATAGGGACCTGTTGAGGAAAGTTAATTGGCTCTCAAGGAGTATGACTATTACCTCTCTTTGGGTGGGCAGAACAGCTAACACCTTAGCGGATGGGTTAGCTAAGCAAGGTGCCTCAAGGGAACAATTATTTTGGGCAGCACTGTAATTTTTTGTTTTAGCTTGATGTAATACTTTGTTAGGAGAGGTAATAGCTCGTGCCTCTCCAAGGGTAGCCTGTAATGATTTAACCTCTTGATCTGTCATTAATAAAATCATTTTCATTTATCAAAAGAAAAGAGAAAGAATGAAAGAAAAGGAGGAACAAATAAAGATTTGTTCTTCTATTTTGTTCAATTGATCTAATGTACACTTTTTGCTCTTCAAGTTTTAGAGTTGAGTGTTCGAATGGAATCCTTATATTCAAACGAAACATTGAAATGAACAGTATTTTTTATTTTAACTTGTAAATTATATGTTATAAATTGTAAAGGTGCTGCTATCATGTGATGGTTCATGAAAAGCCCATAGACCATCACAACAAAAAACCCTTAAAATGGAATCTTAATAGAGTAATAAAACATGTTACAATACATGAAGGTCTACAGTAATAATTTAAACCCTCATTAAAATAACCAATCAAATATTAATATAAATTATATAATACAGTAATATAGTACATTACTATATTATATTACTATACTACAAATATTAATATATATTTTTATAAAATTATGGTATATTAATATAAGTTGCTAGTAATTTAAACATAATATATGAAATATTATAAAGGAAATAAAAAAATAAAAGAAAAGGAATAAGCCAATTACTTATTAGAATAAAAAACATGCATATATAATGTTTCTTCATAGAACTAAAAGTATTAATACATAGTATATTAATATATATTAAAATATTCATAAATGGTATATAAATATAAGTTACTTATATAATCACTAGTAAGTTAGTTATATAGTCTGTAGGACGACTTCTTTTTATCATTTTGTTATCAAGCTTAGTTTTTTGGCTTTGAGTAATGGTCTCTGACTTGTTGGGGGTTGTATAGTCTCTGACTTGGTGGTTTCCAATCTGTCATTGCCTTATCTTTCACTCTAGAAAAGTTAGCCACTTCTCCCCAAGCTTTCACTATCTCATTCATTGAGAGTTCTCTGAGAATCTCTACTGTTTTCACCCAATTTGCAACCATTTTCTTTATATTGTCCACTATTTCTTCTATAGACTTGCTCCTTTCCTTGAACTAAGGTGCTGAAGGAGGCACATGAAAAAAGACCAGTAGGAGAAGCTGACCAAATTCTACTATCCACAACATGACTGTCCAAAAAAACAGACTCAAGTTTAGTCAATAGGTCAAGTAGGAAGTCATACTCATTTTCTCTAAGACCTCTTCTAAACTCAAAGTATCAATTCAATCTAGAAATCAAGGCTTACCAAAAATTAGAGATTTGTTCCTTCTTATAGTTGGGTGTTGTTATGGGCTCGGGCGTATGTTATGGGCCCGGGCGTAGGATCTCGTCACGGGTCGGTCCACGGGGAGAACCTCTAGCTTCCCCTTGCCCCTCCCTTTGCGTGCAGACCCTATCGTGGTGACCTAAGGGGTGATTTGTCCAAGAGATCACCCTAACTCTCCTTAACTCTTCTCTTGACTGAAATTTTGGATGCCTTTATTCAATAATAGTGGCTCCTTAAATAGGAGATTACAAGAGTCCTACTCTTAGGGAGACTCCTTGCTGAATAGGGAGACCTCCAACTCTATCTTGATAAGATAAGACTGATAAGATAAGATACTAATCTAATAAGATAAGATAAGTCTCTCTTAATCCTAATCTAATAAGATAAGATAATCTAATCTACTAACTTAATAAGATAAGATAAGAATAACAAGATAGTCTAATCTAATCTRCYGAWTGGRTAAGACTGTTGCTGCCGAATTGGATAGGATGAGAACACCAGATCATTGCTGCTGCTGCTCCCAATACGCGTCCACATCAGGTGTTTATTTTTTCAAAGGAAAATACCTTGCGTTTCAAAATATTGATCCCAAAAATGCCCAAAATAATGGATTTATGATTATTTTTTGGTTGAAGGTAGGAGTAACATTATGTGTGTCATACTACTTACACTAAAATGTAGGCACATATTTATATTTATATTTTAAGAAAATAACTTCTAGGTCATTTATCAATAAAAAAAAGAAAATAACTTCTAGGTATAGCACAAATACACTTAAAAATTACAGCAAGTCTAATAGCAGTTATCCAAATAGTTTTTCTCGCCTAGGTAGAATTACTTAGCCTTGCTCAGAGTGCATTCAACTGTTGCTGCTTGTCTGAATTAGATAAGATAGTAATGATCATTGTATCTCCTAGTCAAGCATTATAATATGATGGAATATATGTGAATGGCAGCTACAGATACACATACTGAGAGCCTTGAAAGAAGGATTAAACTTGCAAAAGGTCATGTCGAAACTGGGAGACTTTTGGCATATTACCAGGCTAGTATATTCTTTCTATCTTGATCAGTTATTTGGGCATTTTACTTTTTCAAGTACATAAGCTGGAAAAATCCTTTCAACATTGTTCTGTTGTTTTCACTACCTTAGAATGATGCTCGTTTCATTGCCATTACAAGGCTTTCAAAAATTTCAAGCACTTTTAGACAATGGTACCCTGATATATTGGTAAGGGCATTTGTTTCTGAACTTAAAAACATGCTTTCAAATATATAGTTTAGATTTGAGATACATATTTATTCTTCATTATTATCAATAACAGAGACACACTTAGGGATGCTAAGGGTTTAATCAAGGAGTTGGGAGCAAGTATCAAGTGGATACCTCGATCTGCAAACAACCTAGATGATGGGTTGGCAAAACAAGGGGCAGCAAGGGATCAGATGTTTTGGGTGTAAGTCTCCCAAGAGGAGCTTGTAATTGATAATAGTGGTAGTTAGCTGAGGTTAGCTACCTATTTTATAATTTGCTACATATGTACAAACTTTTTCTTCAGATTGAAGAATATCTTTTAACAGTTAGTATTGAAAAGGAAAAAAAGTATTGAGAAATAAAGTACAAGATTTGACTCCATGATGGGAGAACTGAGATAAAGAGACGCTGTTTCATCCAAATCTAAATCCCAAAGCCTATACTGTAAGAGTAGTTCAAAATCTAGTCTTTTCTCTAGCTTTAGGATTAGATGATGTCTACACTCATTAGAATGAGATGTTCACTGTTAAGGGTAGAGTTCTAGCTTCCCTAATAATATGAAGAAAACCCAAGGCTTTGTCTCCTTGTGTCCAGCCAATTAATGCTTGAGCAACCCCCTCCAGTTCTAGTTTATGGCAGCCCAAATTAGACATCAATCTCAAACCCTGAAGAAGTCATTATATTTCAGCAAGAATAGAGTGCCTTGTAAGTTTGATATAGAGTATATCAAAGAAAAGAGTGCCTTGTAAGAATAGAGTGTCAGCCATCCCATTTGCTGTCCTTTTGACCCACTTTTTTTTTTTTTGATCAATAACACACTTCATTAATTTCATTAAAACTTTTCAATGATAATTACAAAGAGGAAGGCAAACTTTCTTATCTTCCAGATATACCATGAGCCCCAAAAGTAGGAAAAAAGAAAGAGAGATAAGGAGAAACGGAAAAATAATTACAACTGTGCCCAGAACATTGACTCCCTCTCCACCCCTTGTTTAGCTAACCCATCAGCAAAAGAATTAGCTGATCTTTTAACCCAACTAATCTTAACCTCCATTTCCCGAGCCAACCATTTAAATTTCCTCCTCATATTACTGTAATTCCATAAGCCACTGTAGTCTTTATTTAGCCATCCAACCACCACCTCCGAGTCCCCTTCAATTACAAGTTTTCTGATATTCATCTCCCTGGCCTTCTGAATTCCTTCCATAACCGCATGGATCTTGGCTCGGAGAGAGTCACCCACTCCAATTGGGCCTGAGAACATGGCAGAAACAACCCCATTCTCATCCTTGAAGACACTCCCAATCCCTGATTGTCCAAGATTCCCTCTGCAGCTCCCTTCAAAGTTTAGTTTTATGAAACCCGCAGGGGGGGGGAGTCCAAGACACATTCATCACTGTTTTGGTCTGGGTGCTGCTAGCAATCTCACCCCAATTCCTCAACATGTCATCCACTGTGTAGTCTGTGAATAGCTCTAATGATTTCATCCACTGTACCACCCTTATAAGGATCAAAGCCCTCAACTCCTCAGTGCTTTTCTCTACTTCCAAGAAAATCCTAGCATTTCTTCTTCCCATAAGGACCAACAAACTGCAACCCTTAGTCCTCTCCACATAATCCTGCCCCTTTTCATGTGCCTCCTGAAAAAAGGAGAAAACAGATTTTGCATGTTTGATGGAGGGTTCCTACTTAAAAACACACGCTTAATGTTTTTTTTTTTAGTTTTTTTTTTTTCAAAATATGATTTTTAAAGACACCTTTTAATGGTTTTTTTTGAAGTAAACCAGGGTCCTGAAACACCTATAAATAGGTGCATCGAGACCAAAAGATACGATACGATACACCTGATACGGGGCGTATCGTATCAATACTTTGAACCTGGTTCTAGCTACTCCCAAATAGGGAAAGGGCCCGCTCCCAAATAGACTTTGCATATTGGCAAGACACTAGTAGGTGAAAACCGGTCTCCCCATTAGCTTTACAGAGAACACACTAGTGAGGGGACAAACAAGTATTGGGTCTCTTCTTTTGGAGCAGATCACTAGTGTTGAATCTTTCTACAAAGGCTTCCCAGCAAAAACTACCAACCCTAGGAGGGATTGGTCTACACCAAACCTCATGAACAGGAAAAGGGAGGGTTACAGGACTGGTGGATTGGCTTAAGATTTTGAAAAAAGAGGCACAGGAGAAAGAACCAGTGGGGGTAGGAGTCCAAATTCTAGAGTCCCCTTAGTAGGGTCTAAGAAAACATTGTCAAGAAGTTGAAGAAGACTCGAGACACAATCAAGGTCCGAGTCTCTCACAGCCCTTCTCAAGCCCAAATTCCACCCAAACCCATAAGTGGAAGAGGAGGGGGATATGAAGGATGAAACTGGCTCATTTTTAAGGTTGGAGAGTGCATACAAAGAAGGAAACTGGTCCTTTAAAGGAGCATCCCCCACCCAAGTTTGTTCCCAGAATTTTATAGCATTACTTGAGTTCAAGTCATACCTGATAAAAGGGGAGAAAACTGGTAACTATTCATGAATGGATTTCCAAGGTGAAACACATGTAGTCATAGCTCGGATTCCAGCATCCCATCCATTTATCTCCAACCTGTGTATGCTGACCACTATCTTGGCCCATAACTTATCCTTCTCTAGTGGGAATATCCAAAACCATTTTCCCGGAAGAGCCAAATTCCTGTTTCTAATGTTCCCGAGCCCCAAACCACCACTATTATTACTGCTAGTCACCACCTCCCAGGCTACTCTATGATTCCTTTTCTCCTCTCCCGGCTCCCAAAGGAAGTCTCTCATCATATTTTCCAGTCTATTGGCAACCTTTACCGGGATCTTGAACACTGAAAGGAAATAAATAGGTAAATTTGCTAGAGTAGCCTTATTCAGTGTTATCTTCCCACCCATAGAAAGGTAATTCCTTTTCCAAGAAATGTTTCTTTTCAAAACTTTCCACCACCGGATTCCATAAATTCTCTCTCTTTGGGCTGTCGCCCAACGGTAACCCCAAATAATTCAAAGGCCACTCTGAGACTTCACACCCAAGCACTTCTGCAGTCTCCCTGACCTCACCTTCCTCCATATTCACACCAATTACACAACTTTTCTCAAAGTTCACCTTTAAATTTGACATTTGTTCAAAGAGTTGTATCACCAATTTCAAATTCCTTATATACCTCATATTTCCCCCTTCACATAACAGAATTGTGTCATCTGCAAACTATAGATGGGTGAGGGGGGCATCCTCCCTTTAACTTTCCAACCTCTAATAAGGGCCCTAGAATCTGCTCTGTAAATCAGTTTCCCCAGAACATCAACAATCAGTGTGAACAGGAAGGGAGACAAAGGGTCTCCTTGTCTTACATCCCTAATGGCTGGGAAGAAGTCAACCACTATCCCATTCACTAGTACCGAGTAATGGCAATTACGAACACACCCCATAATCCATTTGCACCATCTAGCCCCAAATCCAAATTTGGTCATAACTTTCCTCAAAAATTCCCATTCCACCAAATCATAGGCTTTTTCCATATTTAATTTACAGACCACTCCTTTCTTCCTCTCTTTCCTAAAATGCTCCACACTCTCATTAGCAATTAGAATTTGATCTATTATTTGTCTTCCACTCACAAAAGCTCCTTGATTTGGTGAGATGATAGTTGGCAATACTTCCTTCAACCTTAAGGACAACACCTTTTCAAGGATCTTATACAAGCTATTCACCAAGCTGATTGGCCTGAAATCCTTTGGATGCAATCCATCTTTCTTTTTTGGGACCAAGGCTAGAAAGGTGGAATTCACACCCGGGTTAACCACTCCTCTGCTGTGAAATTCCTCAAAAACCAACAAAAGGTCATCTTTCACCGTATCCCAACAGTCTTGGTAGAAAGCCATTGTGAAACCATCCGGTCTTGGAGCTTTTGTTCTATCCATAGAGAAAACAACCATCTTAATCTCTTCCAAATCAAACATTCTCTCCAACATTCTTTTGTTATCATCTCCTATATCTGGCCAATCCAATCCTTCTAACCATACCCCCTACTTACAGGCCTTTTTAGAATTGATTTGAAATGTCTCACAAAGGCTCTTGCAATCTCATCTTGTTGTGTTAACTCAACTCCATCTACCTCCAATTTGGAGACAGTTTCTCCTTCTCCTCCCATTTGCCAAAGAATGAAAGAATCTGGTATTTCTATCTCCCTCTTGTAGCCATTTACATCTAGATTTTTGCCTTGAGCTAATTTCCTCCTTATGTAGGCAGTCCTCAAGTTGGCTTCTCAACCCTCTTCTTTGTTCCTTGTTTGCCTCTCCAAAGTCTCCCCTTTCTTCTTTCAAGTCAAGGTTCTCAATCTTGTCCATCAAGGTTCTCTTCCTTTCTTCAAGCTTTCCAAACTCCAATTGGTTCCACTCCTTGATCTTTCTTTTCAAGAATTGTAGCTTTCTATGGAACCTCATTCCTTCCCACTCCACCATTGGGTTGCACTCATACCACCACTCCCTTACTCTTTTAGTGAACCTAGGGTGGAGCAACATCTTTTCAAACCCAAAGGGGGCAGGTCCACCATGCCTCCTTTCCTCCTTGCATATCACTATAGGCCAATGGTCAGAGGTCAATCTCGGAAGAGCCCGAGAGTCCAGGTTTCCCCAATGTTCTTCCCAATCCAAAGTGAATAGAAACCTATCCAACTTGGAGCAGGTGGGCCTCGATTAGAGATTTGACCAAGTGAATGTCTTATGGGCTAATGGTATCTCCTTGAGTTCAAAAGCATCCACAAACCTGTTGAACTTACT